ATGACTCAGTGTTTAATAATGAGCAATTGCATGTTACACTCTCAAAAGAGCACAGACAGATGCAAAGGTTAAAGTAGTGGACACTGATAAGAAAGGGAGGTAATAAAGCTGTGACAAAAAAAGAGTCTAAAGATTCTTATTGTTTATTTTTGCACCAATTGTGGCACAGACCACGAACAAATTTGTGTATAATGAAATTGTTAATCATCATTTTTAGCTTACATGGAGCCTATGTTTTTTCCGTCAAATTTCAAGGGTCCAACAGATAGAATTAGTAATAATGATGATACTTATACTTCTATATTATCATAACTATTTTTATTGTTATTGTTATCATTATCAATGTGATACCAATAATGATACTATTGAGGAAAAGTAATATCACCAACAACAGTAAAAATAATTAAATAACCACAAGGATAATAAGAATAAGAATGAAGAATAATGATGATAGTACCAAAAAGACTATTATCATTAATAATGATAACCATCATATTACACTGATAATCAAAACAATGTGCGTGTGCATGTGTGTGCTTGTGCGTGCGTGTGTGTGCTAGTGCGTGCGTTTGCGTGTGTGTGAGCGTGTGTGTATGTATAACAGGCGTTGATACGTACCAATACCAACTCCAAAATCATTCACGTTGATCGCGACTGCGGCTGCGTCACGTACAAAAATTACAGCTCTCCTTCCATGAGAAACACTCGACAGACGCTGACAGATAATGACCTTTCTCCCGAAATTAATAGTCTGCACACACGCGAACCCAAGTGAAAGAACTCTTGATCATCAGCAAATATTTGTTCTTCCACAATTAACAGATTGTGTTGATTTGCTTGCTCGGAATCCTGCTTTTCAGGCCTTCGTAATGAAAAGGGTTTGTAGGCGTTTTCGTTTTCGTTTCTGTTTCTCTCTTTCTCTGTCGCTCTCCCTCTCTCTCTCGCCTTCTCTCTCTCTCTCTGTCTCTCTCTCTCTCTCTCTCTCTCTCTCTCTCTCTCTCTCTCTCTCTCTCTCTCTCTCTCTCTCTCTCTCTCTCTCTCTCTCTCTCTCTCTCTCTCTCTCTCTCTCTCTCTCTCTCTCTCTCTCTGCTCTAATTCACATTTACATGTCTGAATCTCAACCACAATTTCAATAACTACTATGTATTCAATCGTCTTTCCCTAAAGTACCTTTTTCTCTGTTCGTCATTACGCCATGAGAATCTAAGTTCCTGTTTTACGCCCACCGTTCGCAGGCCCAGACAACGCCCGCAAAAAAAAAAAAAAAAAAAAAAACGAAAAAAAACGATCTGATTACTTTGAAAATTTGAACGAAAGTGTTATAGTTACCCACAAGAACTAAGATCGGTTGTTCTTTTCTGAAAATACTTGTAGAAATAAATCATGAAGAATGAAAAATATCCGCATCATTTTCATTTTTGCTGGACGCAAAACAGGAACTATCATTCTTGTGGCCTTAACCGCAGTCACCTTGTCTTCACATCCACTTGAACTTACCTCCACATCCCTCCCTTATTTTCATCCTAAACAACAATT